TTAGTTTTTAGTATGGGGTTTTACGGCGCTCGTAACTGCATAAGGTCATGAGCACTAGAAGATTAGATGTGTTACAAGAGAGTGAGAGAGAGAGAGAGAGAGAGAGAGAGAGAGAGAGAGAGAGAGAGAGAGAGAGAGAGAGAGAGAGAGAGAGAGAGAGAAAGAGAGAAGCTAACAAGATCAACAACAACAACAACAACAACAACAGCAGCAAAATAACTAAAGCAGCCGCAATACCAACTAGTTTGGGGCAATACTAACAGCAGTGACAAAAAAGGCGACATGAAAAACGACAACACCGCAATTTAAAAAAGAAGTTGGTAAAAAAAAACAACAACAACAAGAGGACAAAATCTCTAATGGTACTCACAGTATGTGAAACTCTGTAACTGCGTGAGCTCCTCATCCGTCAGTTTTGCCGGCCTGTTCCCCATCACGCTTATTAGTTATTATACAGCCTCCGCCGAGCCTCACAGCGACGCCTACAGCCTTTGCTTAGCGTACTTGTAACGCCTCCTGTAGCCTCAACGGGTCTCCAAAGCAAAGAGGAAAACGTCTGTATTTCTTGAGCAGTCTAACAACAAAGCTTACAGCCTCTGAAAAGCCTCCAAGTGGCCTCCAAACCAAGAGAAAATACGCTTACAGCCTCCAAGAAGCTCCTAGGAAGTCTCCAAGCAGACTCCAAGCAGCCTCTAAACCAAGGGACGAACGCCAACAGAATCCAAAATTATAGAAAAACTGTAGCTTCCGACACGGATATTCGTAAATCTCTGACTTCTGACAGGCGTTTCTTTTTGAACGCCAAATTCCAGGAATCCGATAGTACCAGTAGCTCCTTGGAACACGCACGAACAAACACACACAAGCACACACTCGAAAATATAACACACGCTGGTACACAGCAGTAGATACAGATATATGAATATTCCAAATAGATTGTTATTTAGCGTGTAAACACGGTTCACAGAGTGGTCTGTTGTTATTCATTCAGTCTTTCGTGGTTTTATTTATGTTTTTGTTCAACAACAGCTATTCTAATCTCTATCCAGTGTATTTTAATTCTTACAGTGTTACAGAAGCACAACCTTTTCAGATTAAAAAGAAAACTATAATAACAAGTCAGGATTTCCTGTGATTATGATAATTTGACTAAGTTTTGGGGTGGTTATTTTTATAAGCTGTATTTTATTTTTCTTTCTGTAAAAAAATTGTTTGGAGGGGGTTTCAGTGGTTGTATTTAGTTTGTTATACTTGTGGAGTTGCAGAGTTTCATATACTGTGAGTACTATCAGAGATGTCTTCTTATTGGTTTTTATTAATGTTTTGGGTTAAATTGCGGTGTTGTCGTTTTTCATGTCGCCTGTGATGAAGTTGCTGGTTTTATTGCTGCTGTTGTTGCTGCTGCTG